ACTGCCCGTACGCCGAACTTTGTACGATCTGTATGCTGTTTGCAAAAATCAATATGTTGCCGTTTCGTCAATTTCTTAAACCTTTCGTCCATGCCTTTTGCTCCCGTGAATACGTCTATGAGACAGCGCTCCGCAAATCTTCGTCAGAAGCATCAGCATGTTTGGAGCAAAAATAGCCTGGATCGAATTATTAGCACACCAACAACAACGTTGGCAACTAAATAAGTGGATAAGCGTTTATATTTCATATTTCGCTCATTGAATACCTTTTTGATCCTACCACTTGTTGTAGCTTCTAACTTTTAACTAAAAGTAGCGTTCATTTCTGTTCTCTCGTTAATTAACAGCTTGTTATCAGCCTTCTGCAAATTTCACAATTGATGTATAATTCATCCCAAGCAAAACGATACGTAGGTTTTGCAAGGGGCTCTGATAGCGCAATTTTTTTATCCGCTCATTATTTTCGTATTTAAAAGTCTTGCTAGCCGTTTTAAATCGGCTACAGCTTTTCTGGCTTTAAAACTTCACAATCCTTACGCATAATTTTTTCAATAGGTGGTTAGACTTCTTTACAGCCGTCTTCGTCTACATAATTAATCAAAACAACTCTATTGTATTTCTATCGAACATTAGATATATTTAATATTTTGTGATCAACGTTCCTACGACCAATCATTCCTACGTAGATCATGCTAAGTTTTCTCACTTCTTGGGTATCTCCGGACTTTATTGTTAAAAGTAGATTTGGTTTTATGTGTGACTTAGGCATTGTAGAAGAAGCGGGTTGCCTTGCCTGCATACCGATTTTAAATTTCTATGTCATTTTAGTCATTTCAGCACCATAGGCTTTACTCGGATAAAAAATTATCAAATTAAATTTAATATTCTATACAACAGGTTCAATTACTATGAAATTTCGGGCATAGATAACTTAGATAGACAGAACATAGGTATTGGTGTTTGTACGATATAAGTTTCAGTTGTTTACAAAATGTTGCATAAAAGCGCGAAGAGATGGAGGTTATGTACGGCACTTTGTTTATTTCTGTTGTGAACTGGATTAAACTAGAAAAATATCCAGCCGAGGAAGGTGGGACGCAGCACTTGAAATAGTGAAAAAGAGCTCTACAAAGAACCCAGAAGTAGAATATATGCAATATATGCACATGTTTTTTTTAAGCATATGGTATAAGAAAGTCTTAAACCTAATTCAGTAAGCAGAAAAAGAAAAAACAATTTTGAATGGTTTTATTTGGCGTTACGTACGTGTAAATGTACGGATGTACTTTACGATAGATACACTGATCAACTGATCACCATTGTGCGATTATGAACATACGCCATTTATCAACAACCTCGAAGAATTTTCAAAATTAAGACAAATTACTTGAGCAAATGTGATCAGAATAACTGCCTTGGACTCAATTTTTTATATGCATTTTATTCGTTTCATTATATATAGTAAATTTACACACACGAATTGTTGTTTTATTATACGTTATTTATTAGGTATAGGGTGAAGATGTATGATTTTCATTTACCATTGAGGCCTTCCGATACGCGCGTATGCGCAACGGTTTTGTCTTCCAATGACAGCAGCGTTATGATACCCATGACCACAAATTCACCTCCCTGTGGGTAGAATTCATGATCTCGACACTTAAGTCGTACTTTGCGTTTGTTTACAGAAGCCCAAATGCATACCCGATGGTTTCTTCACACGGCTTCGACGCTTTTACTGATGATTTCAATGTTCATAATACGACATGGCTTCGCCATTCGACGCACACAACTCTAAAGCGATTTGAGGACGGTTAATACTATTTATGGGCTTATAGCATTCACAGTGCAGTGTACCAAACTACGTTAGATATTTTTGTTATTTCGCATTTAGAAAAATACTTTACTATATTCTTTTATATCCTTTTTATATACTAATTTCTGCGCGGTTTTTTCCTCAGTCCCGAAATGTGAAATTTTCAAATACGAAATTTTCAAATAAGAAAACGCAAATTGGCCAGAGCTTAATAACTTTTTAGGCATTTTAATCCGGAATTTAAGACCCTAAATAACAAAGTTAATGGCGTTGCAGAAATGATACACAACATCATCACGCATGGAATAAAGTCTTTCTTTTCACTGAAGACAAACCTCGGAGGAATCTAAAGACTATTGTGGGTTTAATTAAATTTACATTTAAAATTTAGTGTTTCAATCCAAACGACTACAAATGCAACTAGGTACTCCGAAGCACATTCCGAACATTCTCCCAAATGGGTACGTATCACAGGTCTTGTCCCGCCAAAAAGCAGCGAACGCTTTTGGTTGTTTGTCGTCAGACTGAAAGACAGTACTGATTTCCATAGTATCTGGCGTGGTTGATGTAGCTAATGTGTTAACTGAAATGCTTTCTAAAAACTCCTATTTTTCCCTAAGCAAACAATCTTTAACGCTGCTTTAAAGATGCCTACCTTATATTTGCGACCGAGGGCCAGCAGAAAGGTACCTGCCAATCTTAATACTCGCAAAACTCAGAAGCAAGATGATACCTTAGCCTTAGTTCTAAGCAAGTTTCCCTTGAGTGTTTGTTTTAAAAAATGAATAAACAAATAAATTTGTCGAATTAAATTTAAGTAAAGAATAAGATGAGGAGCCCGAGAGGTGCAGAACGTATGACTGATATGGTGAATGGATAACTAAGAACTTGGCAGTCAGACACATGTCAAATAAAGATCGCAGAAGGATCAGACAATGCACAGATGCAGACTGGCTCTAGTGTAATCTTTATAGCTATTCAGAATTATATATTAATAGTGAACACAGGCGATATGGAATGCTAGTGCAAAAAACTTGTTGACGTCAAAAACTTTAAATTAATATTTACCACGGATTGTTGATTGCATTGTT